TCCTAGAGGTCTTCCAAAAAGTCCGCTATTTCGATCTCCACCAACTTTAGCATCCATCCAGTTGCAATCCATTTCTTCGACCAAACGAGTTTCCCAACCGACGCTCTGAAGCGCCTTTTGTGTATCTTTACTCACATTTCCTGATATAAGCGCAATCATAGTCTTGTGACAAGAAAATGTTTGAATTGAGTGACCAAGAACCAAAGCGGGAACGACAAAGTCATCACTGACCATAACAGTTAGCCACGTGACATCCTTTCTTGACCTGTCTTCATTCTTGTTACACCGCTGTTGACCAAATTGTTTCTCCATTTCATACAATTTCCATTCCGTTTCTAAAAGCAGCAGTTCGTTGTCCAAACGCCTCTGATTATCATCACTAATATGTAGAGCAAGCATCTTCACAACTTTGAGAGGAAACGGTACTAAAATGGGTCTCCAAACGGCAAGGAAAATGGCCATAATTATAATCGGAGACAAAGATATCATACAAACAATCAGCTTTTGACATTCACGTTGTCTTGGTTCAGTTTCATTGGTCATTTTCTACACCAGCGCTCACCACTGAACGCGATCAGTGCCGTGTAGCTTGTTATACTAAGCTCTGTATTTTTCTGGGTCTTTGCGCATGATTAAGGCCAACGAATAAAAAGGAGAAGAGATTATCATTCAAAATTACCGAATTACTCAAACTTTATTCAAGTTCCTGTATTTTCCAAAGCCGAAGACAGCTGCGGCTTGCCTTAATTTATACGCTAATTCTTCAGAGGCGCCCAATGATAGTTTCTTCCGAAATGCATTAAAAACACTTTTTAGGCTATCCAAAGTATTTTTAGATCTCTAGAAATGCATTCTAAGCGGCGCTGCAAAATTTTGATCTGTTCGGTCATCCAAGGGCAACTTGAGTCTTTTCGAAATTACAAGGGCTTCAGTAATATTTTCCCGAAAATTTTAGACGCAATTTCTGATTCCTCTCTCTGTCACATTTTCTAATCCGAAAATTTTAGGTTTCCTTTTTCTACGAAAATAACTTAACCTGGGGAGTGAAATTCAAAAGATTAATGTAGAGAATTTGTTAGATAAGCTTCGCAAATTGTACAGAATGTAAAGTTCATATAGAAAATTTAAGCCTTCCTCCAGCTGTAGAACAGAATGATAATTTACGGAAAACAGTCGTTGGGTGCACCTGGTTCTTTGGACGAAAGTCTCATTGAAAGGTGTAAAACGTTTCAACTTAGTTTTTTCTAGAGTTAGTATACTTCAAACAAATTTATCACAAACACTAATGAGAAGAACATTTTCAGGAAAACAAAAACGACACAAAAAAAGAAAAGCTGTGAGCTACTGATTCAACTGACTGATTAACGTTACTTCTGGTACAAGACCAATTTCGTCTGCTAAAGTCGTGACAAAAATAATCGAATGCCAGTATTTTGAGAGAACAAATTGCGAAGATTTCACCACTTTAAAGTCATATTTCAGTTCCAGACGCCGCAGTAGTGGTGTCTGAGCAGATTTAGCAGTTTTTTGGGGGGAGTAAAGGTAGGGAGTAAAATTTAATAAATAGCTCATGAATAAAATGCGCGGGAAACTTGTTTAATTTATGCTATTAACCATATTCAGGTAAGTACTAGTAATGACGTCACAACATATACAACAAGGTCCATTTGACAGTTTAGCAAGCCCATTAGAAACGGCTAATGTCTTCTATTTAGCGCTAAAAATCGGAGCTGAAAACTCTCTATCTCAATTTTGTCTGACTATTACAAAACCGTTTTCTCCTTTCTACGTCAAGGAAACGACTAAGTATTGAAGTCTCAGCGTCTCACGTGCCGTTAGTCAGTTGATTATGCGAGTTCACAAGCCCACATTTGCATACAAATTAGTTCAGCTCAGTAATAACCCCAAAGGAGAATCTTGACGTATTATTATAAAAACAGGAAAAAACAATTAATAACTTAACAAGGATCAATTGAAACACGCAACTAATCAATAAACACTCCCAATAAAACGCGTGTTGTGTATATTGTTACACACATTTCCTGATATAAGCGCAAGCATAGTCTTGTGACAAGAAAATGTCTGAATTGAGTGACCAAGAACCAAAGCGGTACCCTGCAAGCAGTGGTTTCTCCAGGCCGGACGCTACGTTACGAAGGGAGAGAAACCACTTCGAGCATCCGTCTGCTTCTTTGATCGAGCCGCCGTCCGGCGCTGTGGACGAATAAATTAACTTTAAACATGTAAATCCTGTTTGAAAGCAAGTTTAGGCTCTCGCGCATTTGCTTACGCTTGCAATTGCTGCCTTAAAGCGAGCCTGCTGTGGATATTCAGTGTTTCTTTGGATTATTTATTCCTATTTACTTACTTTGTCAAATGTAGGCGAACCAAATGGAGTTGAATTCCAAGGGATCATATCCAAGTTCAAGAGCGAAAAGAAAAATAAATTTCGTCGTTGCTTGTTTAAGTTATCCATAAAACGCAAAATTAGGCATCTTCACGTCGTAGTCGTGCAAAAATAGCAAAGAAAATGCAAAAATAAAAGCGTGATGCACGTGCAAAGTTGCTGTTTTGCTTATTAAGCCTATTGTTTTGTTGAAGTTCTCGTTGCCGTCTTGTCGTTGGATATTCGTAGTCGTCACGTGGGCGCGCATGCTCGATGGAAAAGCAAACGGTTGGTCGCAGTGGTTTCAATTCTTTCCCATCGAAGCGTAGCGTCCGGCCTGGAGAAACCACGGCTCGTAGGCTACCAAAGCGGAAATGACAAAGTCATCAATGACAATAACAGTTAGCCACGAAACATTCTTTCTTGACCTGTCTTCATTCTCGTGACACCACTTTTGACCAAATTTTCTTTCCATTTCATAAAATTTCCATTCCCCCTTTAAAGACAGTAGTTCGTTGTTCAATCGTCTCTTAGTGTCGTTGCTTACATGTGAAGCAACCATCTTCACATATTCGTATGAATACGGAACTAAAATGGGTCTCCAATCGGCAATGCAAATGACCATAATAAGGATCGGAGAGAAAGACAGCGTACAAATAATCAGCTTTTGACATTCGCGTTGTCTTGGTTCAGTTTCATTGGTCATTTTCGACACCGGCGCTCACCACTGAACTCGATCAGTGCTGTAGCTTCTTAGTTCTCCTCAGAAATTTCTTTTGTGGGAGGACAAAAATCGCTCGCTCGTGCGCGTCCTGGCTATGGCCAAGAAAAGGGACCTAGCCTTTTGTTTCGGAGTTACGTGACTTGACCGTAGGAGAGATTCTGGGAAAAGGGGGGAGTCCCCGGAAAATAGGGCAGGGCTGAGTCCCAGGAATGCAGCGCACCATCACGGTCTGGGCGAAAATTGGTTTTGGCCATTTTACATGATGCCACGCTTACCACTGAACTCGATCAGGAGGGTCTCAATGGGGTGGTGGCTTTTACGGTCACCGACCGGGTAAAATTTTGGCTCTTTTACGATCGACTATCGGTTAATTTTTTTCTGTTACGGTTAACAAAAAAGTTAGATTAATTTCTCTTGTTTCAAAGAGTTATATATTAATGAACCTGCATTTTTTGTATCCCCAAGTTAAAGCAAAATAAAGGTCTTAGGATCATCTCGGGATGAAATGCTACTCTTTTGGAAAAATTTAACATTTGATAGATCATACTTTTTATAAAATATTCCACTTCTATTTTATTTTACGCAAAGAAATACCAATAGTCAATTTAAAACGCGAATGGCAAACTCAAGACCGGGGGCGTGACATTCATTTATAACAGAAATGGCTGTTTTCACCCTAGAGACGAATGATCCGCGTGAGACGGGTTATCATTTTGATAATTCGCGTCAGATAGATAATAGAAAATGGAATGGTTTTAATTTTGAATGAACCATCCACCTGACTTTATCTGTCAATTTTGACCGATAGTTTGGATATGGATTATCCGTTTCTGATAGCCTGTGTACAGCCGCCCCCTCCCCTAAGAAAAAATCGGAGAAGGGGTGTCTGTGGGGGGAGGGGGCGTCTGTACACCGGCTAGTCTCAGACGGATAATCCACTTCTAGCTCTAGTGTGAAAAAAGCCCATAACAAAATTCCCGTGTCCGTGTCGACTGTCTCCCGTTGCCTTGTCCATAGGCCTCGTTATTCCGCGCGGCTAATGCGTTTCTGGTCACGTGGTCCGAGCGAGTTCTTTTCTACTCTGATACCCCACCGAAATGCCTTATAATTAAACGAGATTGCGTGGGAAGACGCCTTAGTCAAGAGAGGATAAAGGGTACAGAGAGGGCATCCCCCATACACACCCTATTCTATAAGTAATTCGTCTCGAGTTCTTTTTAGAATTGGGATAAAGTTACCTCGCGCGCTGCGTGGATGTGTCGTGGAGGTTTCGCATGACTAAACGCAGTGCAAAACATGTCGGGCGAAAGGTAATGAAAGCGCAAAGAGATCGAGAGCATTCCTGAATATTGAAGCGAAATAAGTCGGCGCTCACCTGGGAAAAGGGAATCGCTAGACTCTTTGACAACCCGTGAAATCAGTTTAACTCGAAGTTGTCGTAACCTCAGTGCTTTAATAAGATGAGAAATTTCGCCGGTCTATTGAAACCGGTGGTTTGTACAATAAAGCAAGTAGGACGCCAAGTGTTATTTTTGTTGAATATGTTGAATAATAAAAGACTAATAAAAGAATAACTATCAAACTGTAAAACATAAATGATCTTGAGAGAATATTAGGTGTGTTAAGGATTTCCCTGCTGTACTGTTAGCTCTATACAAGAGAGGAAGGGCGATTCTTTTTAATTTCCGTTTCGCTGACACAGTTTTAACAGAAATCTCTCTGTAGTCGTTTTCGTGGACAAAGCGAATAGCAATATCGCTCTCCGCGTCTTTCGCCATTTTGTTCTGCGTCAATTCGTGAAGGACGCGGGGCTCCGAGCGTTGGTCATCCACGCGGAACACATTCGCGCTATGTGATTGGCTGTTGTCTAGTCCCCCTTGAGATCTGTGG